TCATCGCTCGGTCTTCGAACCCCGCCAAGACTCGGCTGCCCACAGCTCTCCTGCACCCGGGCTGGAGCCGCGCCTCGGCGGCCTCGGGTCTGCAGGGCTGTCCTCAGCCCCAGGCGCAGGCTCTTGCTTTGGGGATGCGCTAGCGAGCAAGGTTCTGGTCTGGGCAGGGACCGTCTCCGTTTGCCCCCACTCCTTTGCATCCCAAGGTGTGTGGCTCCCCTCCTTCTTCAGAGGCTCGGATCCCCTGAGTGAGGGGACTGAGCATGTAGTCTCTTCTTAGCACAGGAAAAGGGGGAGAGGACAGAGAGGCCAAAGGTGCCATGGGAGGGGTGGAGGGGAGACTCCAGAAGCAACTTCCTGCAGGGCATTGCCATGGGATGGAACCAGGGCATTGCCATGGGATGGAACCAGGGCATTGCCATGGGATGGAACCAGGGCATTGCCATGGGATGGAGTCAGGGCATTGCCATGGGATGGAATCAGGGCATTGCCATGGGATGGAACCAGGGCATTGCCATGGGATGGAACCAGGGCATTGCCATAGGATGGAGTCAGGGCGGCGGGGCACTGGGAGGCCAGGGGAGACCTGCCGCGAGACCTGGGGAAGCTGGGAGAGGACCGCAGGGTCTGGCAGCCTGCTCCAGGCGCCTCAGTGATAGAGGGGCAGAAAACAGAGCCCCCAAAGTTGTAGCAGCAGCAGTAGCAGGCGAGAGAGAGAGAGAGAGAGAGAGAGAGACACATCCAGGAAGGATGCTGGCCAGGCTGTTGCCCTTCCTCCCCCTCAGGACATTTCCAGCCCAGGCATCTCAGCAGCGGGGAAGGCAGGGAGGAGTGGGGGGCAGAGGGCGATTCTGGGTACTTTCTAATCAGTTCAGGACCCACGGAGGAAGGACACTTGTGTATGAGGCCTGTGACTGTCATGCTTCCTGTACTATTCGCTCCAGCTACTTGTATGATTTTAAAAAGGGAGATGGGGAGGGGCAGAGAGCTTCCCACCCCCTCCTGCCGGGGCTTTTCTCTCCTAGGCCAGCCTGAGCCACACTGAGTGTCCATTACTGGGATCAATGCCCTCCACAGGGACTGTCTTCTCCCCCAACCACTGGCCTGGGGGCAGAGGGTAGGGACAAGAGCTCATTTCTCTTTTCCTGTGCTGGGAGGAGGGGCCACCTCTGATCTTTCTTCTTCCATTATCCCCGTCATCAGGGCCGGGGCTTTTCTCTCCTAGGCCAGCCTGAGCCACACTGAGTGTCCATTACTGGGATCAATGCCCTCCACAGGGACTGTCTTCTCCCCCAACCACTGGCCTGGGGGCAGAGGGTAGGGACAAGAGCTCATTTCTCTTTTCCTGTGCTGGGAGGAGGGGCCACCTCTGATCTTTCTTCTTCCATTATCCCCGTCATCAGGGAGCAGGGTCAGTGCCCCCCCCCCCCCGAAAAAAAAGTTTGTGAGAAATAGAAAGCAACTGATTTCACCTCTTCTTCAGCCTTCTGTCTGCTTCTTCCCTCATCTGTCTTCCTCCCTCCTTCTCCCATCTGCCAGAGTTCCAGAACTGGAGGCCTTTTTAGGACATGCTGAACTCTCCGAGCTATTTCCAGACAAATTCTAGGTTATTTTTAATAGCTTGGTCTCTTGTCATTTCCCCCTCATCTCTAAAGGTGGCCCCTGACTCTGTCTCCCAGAGTCCAGCGGAGGGCATTCCCATAGGGGCCTGACTGCCTAACGGGCATTTTGCTCCAGCAGGGGGCGCTCTGCTGCCTGTTGGCCCAGGAGAGACCAAGTACCTTGCTCATCCCTAGCTTTTGAGTCCCAGGTCTCCTTTCCCAGCACGTAAAAAGCTTAGAACAGTGCAGGACTGTTCCAATAGAATAATTCCTGTATTGGGATGCACAGAGTTAGAGAATAGCTTTAGCACCTTACAGCAAGCCCAGATCCAAAGGCTTGGCCAGCCTTCAGGCCCAGCACCCTCTGCAGAGGGCCACCCAGACTGAGAGTCAGAGAGGGCTGGGCTTGGGTGAGAGCCTGGGGCTGTGGAGAACCAAGAGGTGCAGTGGTCGTGGGCTTCTTGTTCACCCCCCGCTAAGCTCAGATCCCAGGGAGTCCCGCTGCCCCAGCTGCCAACATGCCTTTGCTTTTCTCTCTGTAGTGGCTGCAGCTGTGGCTGCTGTTCTGCCCAGAGGCCCGGGGTATCTGGGGATCGTGGGAAGAAGCCAGGAAGGAGTGTGCGGCTGGGGCAGAGGTGGAGGGACCAGAGGCTGTGTGTGGGAACTCTTGTTCCAGGAGGGTGGGCTGGTCTGTTCGCCAAGGGTGGATTCATGTGCTTGACTCCTCTTCTCCCAGTAGACCCCCTCCCCTCCGCCCTCCTCTCTCTTCTTGACCTCCAGAGGAGATGTGAGCACTGAACACTGTTAGCTCCTCCCGGTGCTTAGCTGTGCGCTGACCGTCTGAGGTGCCGGCCTCCGAGGGGGCGAGTTCAGAGATGAGCAGGACACCCCTCCTCTCAGAGGCGGCTGCCTCTGTGTGGAGACGAGTCAGGATTCCTGCAAGACTTGTCTGAAGGTTGGCCATGCCACTCAGTTGCTTTTTTTTTGCTCAGGGGTCCTCTTCCCTCCCTTTCCTCCTCCTCCCTTTCTGGAGGGGTCCCTGTTCGGGCGCGGGCCTGTCCCTGAGTGTGGTGGGAAGGGCGTGGCGTTGGAGTTGGGCCCACGTGCATCTGAGTCCCAGCACACTACCGGACGTCTCTTCGCGAGTATCTTCCTCTAACGCCCAGAAAAGGACCCTCACGTGGGTTGTGGGGGAGATTAAATGAGATAATGCATGTGACTTGCCCAGCCCTGGCACCTAGGTAGAGAGCGATACATGCTAGTTCCTCATGTCCCTGGCATTTAGCCTAGAGCCTGACCCAGAGTAGGTGCCGAATAAATATGATTTCCTTGTCTCACCAGTGCCTGACGCAGGGCTTGGCAGATAGATTTTCAAAAATTAGTTGTTAACAAACGCCAAACGCATGCCATGCTCTCTTCCCTACTGCTACTCCCCCCCACCCTTCTGCCTCTTGACACTGGCTCTGACACGGGCTGACAGCTGGGCAGAGCCCAGGAGGAGTTGTGGGAAGGGAGATGGCTCTGTGCCCTCCCCTCCCCCTGCACCATCAGAAATGGCACAGTGCCCCACAGATGCCTGCCTGCGGCGCTGCCCCACACAGCTTTGGGCCTCCCCCCGGGAAGGGGGATGGAGGGAAACGGCGTGGGAGAGAGGCCTCGAGGGTTGCCCTGCTGCCACTTTCCAGTCTCTCCTTCTTCGAAAAGAGGATCCTTGTCCAGCCGGGTGACAGTCACCTCATCGACCCCCGTTTACTCCTGGCCTGGGGATTCAGCCCCAAGGGACCCAGGCAGCCTCCATTCCCAGCACAGTCCTCTCCCAGGGAAGAAGCCTTGGCTGTGATTGTGGAAAATTGTCCTGCCAAGAAAGTTGTAGCT